TGAGCTGGAACCCAGCAGAACCAGACATTAATGCCACCTCTATATAATCTAAATAAACTATGCATAATTTCTAATACTAACTCTTTCCTATTATTTCCTTCTCCCTGGATACTTTCTAACACTGCTTTAGAGTCTGTACATATCACCACCCTGTCTGGTCGAACCTCCTCTACCCCCTGTAAGCTTAATATAACTGCCATCATTTCTGCTGTGAATGCAGATAGGTGATCTGAAAGTCTTTTGGAGATGTGAATTTCAAACTCTGGAATGTTTATTCCTATTCCCACATGTCCTTTAAGATTTTTAGAACCATCTGAATAAATTTTGAGGTAGTTGTAATATGATTTTCTTAAATATACATCAGTCTTTACCCGTATTTCACTTAAATTCCAGTCATTTTCATCCAGTATACTAAAGCTAATTTTATTCTTCTCATTTCCAGTGGGGTCTCTCCAGTCTCTATTAAAAGAGCATTAATAGGTGTCGTTTTCACTGCTCCTGTACATATACGTAATGCCCTACTCTGTAGTCTATCCATCTTTTGCAGTGTTGTTTTAGCTGCTGCTCCATATATAAAACTACCATAATCAATTATTGATCTCATAAGACCCCTATATATGTTTAATACTGACTGTCTATCTGCACTCCAATTATTTCCAGCCACAGCCTTTAGTAAGTTTAGAACTTTCTTACATTTAGTTTCCAAGTTTTCTATATGTGTTTTCCATGTATAAGAACTATCTAACCATAATCCTAGGTATTTAAATTCTTTAACCCTTTCCAAAGGCAGTCCGTATAATGTTATTGTTCCTGTATCAATATTTCTTTTGTTTGTAACAACCATAAAACAAGATTTGCTTGCTGATAATTTAAAGCCCCATTCATATGACCATTTTTCCACTTTATTAATTGCCTTTTTAATTTTTTCTACTACGTGTTTAACATTTTTTCGAAACATAGCATAGCATAATTGATCCTCTCCTGGAGCTGAGTATCCTGTCCCTTTCAGTTGTTTTCATTCCTTTCATGGTTATATTAATGTCTAATATTGACACGCATTCTTGACATTTTTCCAGAATACTTTTATAATTTCCCAGTTTTTGTATTTTCTGCTGTCTGTGAATGTCTGTCAGATGTTCACCACTGTGAACTGCAGCAAATGTCTCCCCTAATAGATCTGCCTTGTCTTTGTTTAAAACTAGT